ACAAAGATTATGGGCTTTTAGATCCTGAGAGGGCTTTGGGGGCTTCCAGATGTTTTGAAATGTGTTCTCCCAGCTCCCTCCTTCTACATCCAACTTAGGTAGCTTGGGGTTATCAGTGCATTTCAAATAGCATTTGTAATGCGAGCATTCTTGCACAACCATACAAAGTTAGCATTAAAAGCAAATAAAATTTCATATCTTCTGGCTTCCCCTGCAGGCTAAAGACCATAGGCAAGAGTCCAGTAGAAGATTCTGAACTCCATATAGGGCCAAACACTGTCCTCATGATAAAGGACATCATAAAGGAGATAGATTGAACACCATCTCTTTAGTAGAGAGACTTTGTTTTTGCATGAAAGGACAGCATGTCTTCAGTTACTTGTATGATATAGTATCGTCACTGTTAAATTTTTTCATATACCTTTCTGATGCATATTATTAGATTGCCAAACTTCAGGGTTTGGCTTACAGGTTACACCTTACATAGTGCTCAACATCTGAAAAAGCCTCTTTAACACTATCATTACCTGGCTCCAAGTATGCAAACTCTATGAGTACACAAGCTTGTGTTTTTTGATCACTACAAGTCTGGTCTGGGGAAGGTCGGTCTGACAGAAACCCAATGCAATGTGTGTTATTTTAAATTTTCTAACAGGCACATTAAGAATAGTAAAAAGAAAACTAGTGAAATTGTCTTAATATATTTTATTTAACCCAATATAGCAAATTTATCTTTTCAATATGCAAACAAAAGTAAAAATGCTATTGAAGTATATTATTACATTTTTGTATGCAGTATGTGAAATGAAGTATGTGCTTTACCATTGCAGTGGACTTCACTGCAGAGTAACCACATTTCAGTAGCTGCATGAGACTAATGATTGCTGTATCACACAGCACAGAGTCGGAGCTTGAAATGGCATCTGATACATAACTACCACTCAATTAAATATTTGTCAAATAAATGAATGAATGGTGTTAATTGACTAGTTTTAGAATATTTCAATCAAATAATAATTTTCTGTGGGATAAATTTATTTTATAGCAAGCCTAAATGCCTCATTATAAAATTTCCCATATTAAGCAACAAAGATCTTTTATGTTGACTTAGAATATTCCTTTTTTGAAAAAGGCTGAAGTTTCTGAACTGTTATATGAATAGGAGAATGCAAAATGGCATGAGCATTATGAAATTCATTCATTTGAACTTGCCATTTCATTTTCCTCTGTGTCTGGGATGAAACTCATATGTTCATATTTTTTATGTCTATGAAATCTTTATTTTAATATATTATAAAGAAGTCAATTAATTTTCATTTACTAATCTCCCATTCCTCACATTGTAATATTATCCTCTTTATATCTGAAGGGAAAATTGTTAATATTTCTTTTAAGACTATAAACTTAATTTCCATTAAGGGAACTGGTAGTTTGAATGAAGATAACAACATTTTGCCAGTTTTATTCCTATTGTGTGGCTTTTAATAGGTTTCACCACTTCCATTTGTGGCATTTGTATAAGATATGGAGTCTGAAGTTTGCTTAGTTCTGATTTACATGTTTAATGGTGGAAAAATCCATCCAGAAATATGAACTGAGGCATTGCTAATTTTTCCCCAATAGCAATAATATTTAATTATTTTAAATTACTTATAAGACTTCTAAATAGTATATTTAAATTTCTTAAATTTCCTAAAATTTTAAATAGAAAATTAAAATAATTTGATTGAATCATAAGTGGTCCCAGATTAACTGCCATCAGTAATTTAGAAAGTACATTTCTATTAGAGAAAAGGCTTTGGAATAAAAATCAGTGCATAACATTGTCCTATTTCTGCACAGTTTTGTTCATACCAGATGCGATTATTTATAGAGATGTTTAGAAAGATGCTGAATACAATGTAAGCAATGGTTACCACTGACTGATGTGGTTTTGAATGACTTTTACTTTCTTTTATTTAATTAAACCTTTTAGATTTTTACACAATGATGCAAAAAGAGTATTCAAAAATAATTTTGAAAATATAGATCAAATCACACTGTTGTTGCACACAATCCTGTGTGTAAGATGTAACAAATTTCTGTTTGGGAAAAATATGAATTTTAGGTTTTTAGTTTTATTACTCAATAAAGTATTTAATTTTATTCAATACATAAGCTTTATCTCACATATCTTAATGTTAATGAAAACCTAGTAAATAGCAATATTCAGTACATGTATAGACTTAAGGGATATCATTCAATGAGTGAAATATACTGGTCGGAACTTTTATCATTTATTCATTTGACTTATATTCACAATGCATATACCAAACCATAGAGTGAGAGTTCAGAAAATAGTCAAGTTTTATATAATTCTCTTTGACTAATGAAAGTAAACAATAATAGCTGTTATGCCAAGCATTTTGTTAAGCGTATCATCGGAATAATGTTTATAACAACTCTGTGAGTTACCTATTGTTATTATCTGTCCCTTACCCCGGAAAAATCTAAGGAACATGGAGGATGATAACCTGTGTGGGATCACATGGTGATGAAGTGTTTTTGTCAAGCGTTAAAGCCCGGCAGTTGAACTGTGGGACCCAGTGATTTAATTGATACATTCCATGGAGTACACTGAACACCCCGACCGCGCCTTGTTTTTGTTTTACCTTCTAGCAGCAGGCTTTTATATTTATAATTAATGTCAGATGAAATAACAAAGCAAGCAACATTTCTCTGTGCCTAAAATTGACACTTGTCTCGTTCTGGTGCCATTATTGGGGTGAGTTCTTCGCTTGTCTTTCAAATAACTCATGATCTGGTTGAGACATGTGTCTGACGCAGCTGCAGGCACCTTGACAGGCAGGTCCTGATTGAGGTTCAGAGATGCCCCCCGCTGCACAGCAAGTCTGTGGGAAGGCAGACACGCCCTGCGGGCTTCTACCTTCCAGGTTTCATTTAATGAGTTTGTACTATTCTTAATTATCAAAATAATTTTTTATTCTACCCATTGGTGAATCTTCTTGAAAATATTCTTGGAGTGTTGTTTAGTAATAAAATTGTTAAATTGTGGCTCTTAATAGTATTAAAAACTTATATTCAGGAGATATTAAAGGTTCAAAACTGCACAAATGAGTAAACAGACTTGATTATAAGGACACCTAATTATTCCAAGGTAGGATATAATTAAGTGCTAAAGTTGTGCGATATAAAGACAATAAAGGCTGCAGAGTTTCTAACGAGGAAATCAAAGAACTACACTGCTTTGCTGGGCTCTGATTGCCAACTTGAAAACTCAGAAAATATAACAAAATAAAAACAAAGCAAATTTACCCAAGGTCTATAATTATGTCCTGTCAATTTGTCTTTAAAAACATATAGTCTTCATTAAACAATCCTGTATTTATCATTTCCTTATAATTACATTACCAAGGTACTGTGCTAAGGAAGGTAGCTTAACAAGGAAGGCAGAAATGGTAATTAACATTTGTTGTGCGCCTGTGTGTGTCACAAGCGCTTTCTTTGTGCTGCCATATTTTGTAGGAGGTCTCTTGGTTCAATTTCACAGATGAGAAGCCGCCTCAGGGACCTTGAACAACATTGTGCTTATGAGTGACAGAGCCACAATTCCAAACCATGTCTGAAAATATATATTCCATACATTTCCTAAGCCTTCTATCTGGAAGATCAATGTTCTAGAGTTCACTATTTGTATTCCACAGTATCAGGAGTTGTTGTGGAGGGCAGAGTTGGGAGGGACAATACAGTCATTATTCTGAAAATACTGCTTGCCCATGTGCGGAGGGTGTCTAGAAAAGGCTTATTGAGCATGGCTGTGTATGGGACTCAAGATGCGTTGGGCTCACCTAGCAGCTATCCAGCTTAGCAGAGGAATTTACGCCCTGCCTGAGAAAGGCTGAGTGTGGGGAGACTTCTTCTATTTGCATATGGAGGTACACATTTAGTGTCCAAGAGAGAATGACTTGAGCAAACCTGTAAAGAACAGCTGTATATTTTGAGTGATCATCAGTCTTTTTTGGTCACACTTTCTTTATTGTTTGGTATTATCATTACTCCCTTTCTGGATTTAAGGAATTGGCTTTTGATTTTCTTATTGGTCCAAGTCTACTGGCCGGAAGAGAAGGAATCTAGTGAGTCATAGTTGTCTTTGTGTTGACTTGTTTAAATGACAGGTAGCCTTTTTGGTGAAGGGGAAGGAATTTGCATTTTCCAGAAAAGTCATTTATTCAGAAATGAGTCAAAAATCTCTTGATGAAATTTCAGACATGTGGCGTTGGGGTGGTAATGACAGTTTGATGATGACAATTGATGTGGATGGAAGGAAACTATGTGCCAGGCACTGTGTTAAGCATGTTTGAATGGATTTCTACATTTAATCTTCAAAACATTTCTATAACCTAGATGTATGTGTTTTCCCATTTTTAGGTGATGAATTGTTAGATTGTTTTCTTAGAGCAGCATACTGCTGGGCCAGTGAGACATTCCTCTCATATAATGTACTTCTATATACTATTGAAAATGGTACTAACTAGTAAATATTTGAATTTAAAAGTCAGTAAAATAATGCTCAAGTTGTATGAGTGACCAAATGGTAAATTTAAGATGAAATAAATCATTTTTAAGTATGAAGAGCAAGCATTAAATCTATGTATTGCAAGATAGATGCATTTCAGCTTTTCTCTAATACTGTATTTTCTATGTTTATATTATAAACAGCATCAGCTTTGAAGGATAACAGATATATGATAATAGCATTGTGGTGATTTTGTACCAAAATATCAATGGTGTGCCATAAACAAATTAACTGAAATAATTAATATGCTTATTGTGTATTTTAAATTCCTCTGTTAAAATATTTTAAGGAGTTGAGCTTTGTAGTTTAGCTCACTTAGCTTCTAATTTCAAATTTCCTATATTTTAAAGATGTACAGCTTTTTAAAATTCATGTGCTTATATGCTTGCTTGAATCTTATCTATTTTCTTTTTCATTTGAACAGTAACGTCCAGCTTTTTGCTGCCTGAGCGCCTGGAACTTGCTTTATCACTTGGCTTTGCTGTGAAGCACTCCTAGAAAGCTAGCTGAATTGTACATTGAAGAGCTACCTTTTGGTGAGTGAAATTACAGCTACAATTTTGTGTTTTGTTCTGCCTCAAGTTGTGCTCACATTGTTGACCCGTGCTTTCATATGGGGCACATGATAGAGCTTTTCCAGATATGTAGGATAGCTATTTTTTTCTTATGGACAAAAGTAATTTGTACTGACATTTTTTTTTCACTCTGAAATCTGCTATTATCTTTCTTCCTCCTACCCAGTTGAATGACTTTACAATTCTTGGCCAGACATCTGCCTCTTCTATACTTGGATGGATCCCCTATGGCCATATTCCTATCCCCACCCTAGCTACATAATTTGGCCACTATACTTTTCTTATTTGTTATCTACACATGGAAATAAAATGTGACAGCAGTGATTAGCTGGACCACATAGCATCACACTGTAGACTGTAGAGATTTTTGAATAGCTACAATTTGACTTGCTTGATCCATTGTACTATTGTAATCTATACAGGCCATGTGATAGGAAGCAAAAGGAAGGCATCAGCCTTCTCTTATGTTCATAGTTAAATCCTCTGCAGTTTTTCTGTTCCTAAACTGTCAGTTTCAATACAATCCCATGTCATCTAGCCCATGGATCAAATGTTTTCCTAGGGCTCTTTCTTGGGACTCCTACAGCCATTTTCCTCTAGTCTTTTGTCTTTGACTTATTTATCCATCAATTTCAACTCAATTCAGTTTTTAGCACTGAGGATCAAACCTAGCACCTTCCACTTGTTAGACAAGAGCTTTGCCACTGAGCTACACCCTCAGCCTTCTTTTGCTTTTTAGATCTCGCTTTTTCCTTTTGCAAATCAAATCCATCCAAGAGGGCTCATTTCAGGGTGGAGCAATTAGGAGGTTCTCTGGGGTCTTTTAATGCACTATGCAATTCTAATTCGGAGATGGGATATCTGACAATATCAGTTATTGCATAAATTTCATCATTTGAATATGCATAAAGACTTTATGGCTAAGGATGAGACGGGAGAAATATTAAAGACTTTCAGAGATTTGACAAATAAATGGCAAATGTATCTGGATTGTATTCTTTTTTTCTTTCTTAAATTTTTGTTGCTAACAGAGGTTTTGGGTGAAAATGAGACAGTAAATAAAGAGGAAGTCTTGGGGGTCCTAGAGAGAAAAAATGAATTTAAGGCCAAAGGTGATGGTATGATTCCCTCAAAAGAGAGATGTGCATAAGACAGTACTTCCCTAGCTTGGTTGGAACAGTCAGTTTAGAATGCACACATGGAGTGGATTATATAATGCCTGAACAGGAATCTCTGGAGACTATGCAATAAAGTAGTTGTCCCATACTTAGGTATACAGTCAGAAATAGCAATTCTAGCAGCACTTTCCTGACAAAGAAACTAAAGTCCAGGCAACTTGTTTGAAATTTACCCCTCTTATGGCTAGTTTTCTACTTTTTTCTTTGCTGTTCTCTTTTACTTTTGTGGATTTGTGACCTGAACCAAGAGAACCTTCTATAAGAGTAGTAAAAATTCTGCATGGCTTTTTTTTTTATTATTATACTTTCATTCTAAGAAAAGTATTCAATTTAAGAAACAATGCTTAGCATGCCTTAACTTTCTCTGTTGGGAATGGGGAATTTTGCCATGCCAGCCAAGCTGGCCTTGAACTCACTATTTGCCTGGCTAGCCTCAAACTCACAGTCCTCCTTCCTTAGCCTCCCACATGCTGGGGTTCCCACCAAACCTGACTCTGTTGTAAAGTCTGCAAGTGAGATTCAAGGTGAGTGTACAGCTAGATTTGGTTAGAAGGCCTCTCTGACTTCAAAGCGGCTAAGTAACAGATTAGGCACCATTCTTTCTAAGAAGCATCCGATCCTCCTTTCTGTGGTATACGCTTGTGTCTCTCTTTGCTCTTGTTCTTATGGAAATATAACCAAGCACTCAGGAAATCCATTACACATGTAGAGTTGTCAATTTTGGAAGAAATAGGAAGGCGTATGGTGAAACAGACCTAAGACTCTGGCATATCCTATGCTAACCCATCTGTCCTCTCTCAGCAATAACACACCAGAAAACCGCAGAGTGAGAAACAGTGAGCTTTGTGGGGTAGGACCTGGAAGAATGGAGCCTGCCATGGAAGTAGAGGTCTTTTATGAAGATTCTAGAGGTGTTTTTGACTTTGTTATTATCTAAGAGGCATTCTTTGCTTTTCTGTTTCTTCAGCGTCATCTTTATCATATCTAATTTATTCTTCTGCCTCAATTTTCTGGTGAAAAATGACAAAACTGTTTTGAGGTACGTGATGGTCAGAGAAATAAATAGATGGAGCAGAGTGAGAACGATGATTAGCATGTGGCTTTGGGAAGAGAGAGAAAAGTTTGCGTAGTTTTGGGTACTTCCAAGATAATCGCAGCAAATCCCGGTTTTAGGTTTAGAAGATGAAAGCACGAACACTGCTGTTGTTCCCAGACGTTTTACCATGAACTGCCTGAAACACAAGACCTGCAGATTCATTAATGTTCTCAGAGCTTTCATTATTTATTGCCTTCATTTGCTTAGAGCAGTATTTTTTATCATTTACTGTTACAACCAGAAATGTTTTGAATCCGGACTATATAAGAAGCCAGTCAGTGAGGCGGCTTGGCTTGCAGAAAGCTACTATCATCATATAGGAGAAGTTCTCCATGCTGTCTGGCTTTATATTTTACATTCCATTGAACCTCTTTTCAAGAATTACCCACCTACTTTGAAAGGGACTCTGCAAGGCTTCTGCCCTCTGCCGTTCACTTGAAGTGTCACTTTCAGTCCTAATAGAATAAATGTGAAGCTTTGCCAAGCAATAAGAAGCCTCACAACCCTGCAATCCTGTTTCTCCAGCTTTTCAGCTCCTTCCCAGAACCCCTCTGGCATTTTCTTTTCTGGTAAGGCTTATGCCTGAGTTTTAAATACTATGTCCTCTTTGCTCTTCCAAAGCAGTATTCAAACATCTATAGCTTTGCCAGCCAGGGATCTATGTTAAACAATTCCATGCAACTTCTTTTGCCTCACTGAAAGTGGTATAGAATATGGTCTTTGCTCCATATTTGATTCATATGGACCATTGGATTTAAGTATAGATCCTTATTGCCCTTAGCATGTTTTGCTTGTTTTCAGTCCAACCAGGGTAAAATGTGAGAAATGATTCTATTATCACTAAAACTATGATTTCTTGATGGCATTCACTATTTAAATTACAAAGATAAGAGAGGGAGACAATTAAACATCAATGAAAAAATACTCTGGCACTTTTAAAGATTACTTTGATAAGGACTAAAGAGAACAAAGGTTTTTTCTTTCCAAATTTTGATATTATTAGAAGGAAACCTTACTTTAGAAAAAAGTTTGGGTAAATCAAGAGAACTATGTGTGGCATGTGTTTTAGGCAATGCATCAGTGAGTGAGCTGTGGATCAAATGCCTCCCTGTCCATAGATTGCAAGCTGACTTTCCATCCCATTTAGAAGGTGTATAATAACCATTTGCTGAACACATGAGTGACCATGTCTCTTTTAAGAAATAAGATTAATACCTTTTTTCTAGTGCAAAATCTATTTCTATGTAATACTAACATTACTAGCATAATGTTGGAAATCTTACGCTGAACTCTTTTTTCTTTTCCCTTTTGCCAGCATAAAAACAGCCCTTAATACTCCACCGCTAACCTTTAAGATGAGTGTGTTGTAAGATGTGTTTTTCTACACTATATGCCTGAGTTGCCTCTTAACACTGTGAGCTTTACAACAGGTTTTCTTTAAATATTCCACATTCTCTCACATAAAGTCATGTAATATTGCATATTTCGCAAAATATTTTCTTGGGGATTTAAGGAATGAAATAGAACTTACATAGACAGAACTAAGCTATAATGCTTGCAGTGGTTTAACATAATGATGCCCATCTCTATTTGCCAGCTATCATCGAGATATAGAATTTAGTTTTCAAGCTCCTGCATATATAAATCCATGAGATATTTGTAACATGAACTAAGAAAAGTAGTTATAAAATATTATTGAAAGTTTTAATTAGGTCTTTGGAAAATAGAAGGAAGATATCTTTGAATAGCTTGTCCTACTATTACAAAAGAGTTACCAAAAAAGGCAAAGTAGTCCATGAATGTCTTTCATGTCATTAAAACTGCAAACTGGGATGAACAAATTTAGGTAAAAATCAAGAAATTTTACATGGTATTGAAAACATATACAAGAAAATTACATATGACAAGTCCAATTTGACTGAAATGCTGAAAGATAAAAATTGTGTTAGTTTAGTATGATCAAATATTATTATACATAATGTAATTTATAAATAAGTAAAAAATTCTGCTTAAGTTTTTTGGGTATTTGCTCTTGTATGTTTGTATATGTGTGTGTGTAGGTGTATATACATGCATGCCACACCAAGGTCGACAGAAAATGGGCATGTTAATAAAGACTCAAAGACTTAAAAGTCATTGCCATACAGAGAAAATAAATAAATACAGCTGATTGTTTTTGGTGGGATTCACATTCCATAAAGTCTCCATAAATACCTATGTAATTAATAAATACTGAATCATTGCTTCATGAGGAAATACAGGGTTAAGAAACAAAAAGGCTCATGTGACGACAGTTTTGCCATCCAATCAACAGATGTGTACGTAAGCTTGCTTTATATGTGCCTCTGGGTAAAAGAATCTTATTTAATATATCCTCTTTATCTGTTACTGCACTGGGCCAGCAGCAGTGTAAGCTGTGGCCAAACAAAGCTTATCTGACAAGCATTCTTTCTCTAAAAGACACATCACATTCTTTTACCAAGGAAACCTAGGTACCATTGCAGAACTATGCTCAGGGACAATCTTGAAGAGCAAAATCGCCAATAAAAAAGGTCCAAATATGAAAAACGTGGCAATCAGCAGACAATGAAATAGATATTTATGGCATAAGAACTGAACCAAGAAGCCAGAAGTTCCCTGGCTGGATCTCAATGCGGGCAAACATATTGGAGAACTCACATTTTTTA